TGATTACTTTTTTTTAATAAAAACCGAACCGAACCGAAAATGATCACCCCTAATTCCATGACAGGGAGTTCCTGATCATGAGTATCTTCATACAACAATCTTAGTTGTAGCAGATCACAAAAATATGACCCATTCTCTTCTCTATCTATCTAGGCAAAGACTTCATTATCCCATGAAATATTTGTTTCAGTGGACTATTCACATGATGTTTAAAAGTATAGAACCATGACAAGTCTCGACGTCCATCGGTGCAACCTCTCAGCTCAAAACAACTTTTAAACACTCTTAACTGATGATGAAGCCTCTCCCAGCAGTGACTAATGAACTTATCAAATGTTGATAATGGTAACCAGTCATTTTAGTGAAGATGACCCATACGCAAGGAAGGCACGACGGAGAGAAAAACAAAGATTTTAAATTTTTCTTATTTTTTTTTTGGAAATTTTAGGTATAAAAAAAGGAGCCTTCCCTGCGGCGGAGCATGACCATCTAGCTAGTGATCGCTATTTTTCCTGGTTATTCAATGATGGGAGGGAGAGTATCCTTGTTTTACCGTTGAAGACCTATATAATACTTTAAAAAAATAAATAGTTAATATTCTTAGCAAGAAGACTTTGTTCCACATCCCTCGTGACTGTGGGCTCCAAATTCGGTTGTGAAACTTTCCCCTTTTGTTGAGGACATATGTCGTTTTCAGCCACCGCAACTTTTTTATTCCATCTTGCTGCAGGTGGCGCCACCACATAACTGTAGCCACCCCCACCCACCCTTGTATATATTATATTTTAAGCGATTTTGAGATTGTGGTGGAATTTATTTTTAAAAAAAATTATTTTTAACATAATTTATTAAAGCAAATTAAATATAAAAAAATCAAAATCTAGCACCAGTTGGTGCACTTTAGAAATGATATTACTACATTGTTATATTAAAGAAGAAGGATTGATGGAAGCAAGGAATTTTGAACTTCTTTTTTCACGAATTACAACTCGCGAACCGAAAATACCGTGAATTAAGCAATCTTTTTATACTTTTCTATCAACTTTTTTTTAATAATATTATTACATTATTATCAACTTTATTTTATATAATGCGTCTGGATTTTTCTTTTCTTCTCTAATATGTTAGTGAAGCCACGAGTAAGACAGCCAATAGCTATCCTCAGGTATCTTCCACTATTTGCAGTCCAAACAAAAGCCAAACGTCTCTCATCACAGCACATCCTTAAACTTATCACAATCATCGAGAAACCTCCCTCATACAAAAACACCATCAAGAACTCATAACCTCAGGCCTCTCTCCCCCTCTCCGATCCCACAGCCTCAGGAGGCCAATAAAGCTGCAAAACCCTAGTAAATATTTATATATGTGAGATATGAACACCACCATTCCAAAACTACCGTTCATTATCAAACCCTTCCTTCTCTCCCTCTTGCTCTCTCTTACGGTCCTCATCTTCATTGCCTTACAAACTCCCCATCACATCAAAACCACCCCACAACAACCAAACACCATCTCCTCCAAGAGCGGTGGTGGCCTTCGTATCCGGCCGGGGTATTCTTCTTACGATGAATACATTCAGCGACAACTCAACAAAACCCTAAACCCTAAACTCCGGCAGATATGGACAACACGGGATTGGGAGCGTAAAGTCCGAGTGTTTGCCCAGTTTTTTGAGTCCTTAAAGCGAAGAAACCTCTTGCTTAACAGTTCAAAGGCATTATCGATCGGTGCTCGTGTGGGGCAAGAAGTGTCGGCTCTAAAAAGTATAGGCGTGAATGACTCGATCGGCATTGACTTGGTGCCTTACCCACCACTTGTAGTGAAAGGAGATTTCCATGCACAGCCCTTCATGAACGACACTTTTGATTTTGAGTTCTCTAATGTGTTTGATCATGCCTTGTATCCGTGGAAATTTGTTAGGGAGATCGAGCGGACGTTGAAGCCTGGTGGAGTTTGTGTTATACACGTGGCGTTATCAAGACGGGCTGATAAATATTCAGCTAATGATTTGTATAGTCTGGGGCCATTGGTTGATCTGTTTAAAGACTCCAAGTTGGTGGAGGTTCGGAAGGTTGACGGGTTTGGGCTTGATACTGAGGTGGTCTTTAGGAAAAACAAAAGGAGAAATATTTAAAGATTTGTTTTTTTTTTTCTTGATTTTTGTATTCTTGTTGATTCATTAAGTCAATTGTGTTTCTCTCTTTCTTTCTTTTAAGAAACATTTATTTGTGGTTGAATATATTGGTTGAAATTTTGTTGATAAGATTATGATTGTGACATGTAAGTGTGTTATATTAATTATATTAATTAGTAGATAAATAAAGAAAAAAATATAACTATTAGATGATATATATAAATATATATACACACAGAGAAAATAATAGATGTTGTTTTTTAATGTGTTTTTTATTTAAAAATATAGTAAAATAATATTTTTTTAATGTATTTTTATATTATTACATTAAAATAATTTAAAAATATTAAAAATTAATTTTTAAAAAAAAAAATCAAGATTGACACCCTGCTTTACAAGATTGAAGGGGATAAAAGATTATGATTTAAAGTATTTTTTATTTAAATAATATTTTTTAAAAATTATTTTTTATATTAACAAATCAAAATAATCTAAAAACATTTTAAAAAATTATTTTAAACTAAAAAATTAAAATTTTTAAAAATATAATTGTAATTGCGTTTTCAAACACGAATAATTGAGCTGTGGTGGTGTAGGTAATCTCTTAATGAATTGAGGTGGTGCAACAATTGAGTTCTTCTACATGCACACATGGAATGTTAGCTAGACATCCATCAACCAAGCTGAGGTAGGGTACGTAGTGATAGAGCCACCTAGAAGGACAGCCCCCGTGCCATATCTGATCAATATTAATTTCCATTAGTGTTCGAAATATTAATTATGAGATTTGGAACAATATTTAACGCTTTCACCGAACCAAATAAATTCGGTAGACAGGCTAGCTAGCTGATAATTAAATATAGAAAATGCTGGATCTACTGATTACAAGTGTATATATATATAAAAAAAAATATATATATATATATATATACACACACGCACTAAATTTCTGGATTAGAAATTATTATATATATTCATAATTATTATGTGCAAGTTTTTGCGAACTCGATTCCTATACAAAACGCAGACTTGTAAATATACGATCGAGGGGTGGAGCCAGGGGAGGTTGTGGGGGCCGGCATGCATAGTTTAGGGACAAACCAGCCGTGGAGGAAAAAAACATGAACTTGTGACCCCTTTTCATCATCTTGCGCTTGATATGAGACAAACAGTAGAGACTTGTGAGACAATTAGAAGCAAATATTGAAGGAAAAGACGGTGAGAGCCGGACAGAATTGACTGTTTGTTGCCGGAAGCAACATCGGGACCAATTTAGGTCCCTGTCACCTCAGAAAGTATCCGGTGGGATGGATGAGAACGAAGCTTATTTTTGCTCATGCTAGCTGTAAGAATATTGTAGCTAGCGAATTAGTGAACGTTTAATGCTGTGGTGAGCAAGTGTTGAACATATAGCTCTTTTCGAGGATTTGTTTTTTTAACAATCCGGCCATGGAAATCATATATGCTGCTGCGTAGCAATCAAATTAAACAGTTTCTAAAAGAAACAGATTTGATGTTTAATGGTAAACTATAGAGAAATAGCTTAATATATTCTTATATTTAAGCTTTTTTTATATATCTAGTTGCTATTAACTTATTGTTTTCCAAATCATTCCTCATTCTATACTCCATCAATAATATTTAAAATTTTCTCTGTCTTAAGTTTTAATAATATGTTATTTAAGTAAATAAAATTAGCTTATTAGTAAAATTTATCTATATAAATCCATTAATAATATTTAATTTATATCTTAACAAGTAACCACTCATCTCCTTCCCCTTTCCTCATCCCTTATTTATTCTTCTTTCTCATCACCTCTACAACAAATAACATAATTCTCCTATTCTATTTTATCACAAATAGTACTTTCATCATAAATTCAATCACCTTAATATTTAGTATGTTAACATCTATGTTTTTATTCATTTTTTTATTTTTTTTAGATTTTCTACATTCAACAAGCAAGAATTTTTAATTTTTATTTGAACTCAATTTTAAAATATTAAAATTATTGACTTTTTTTTTTTGTTAAAACTCATTAAATTTAGAGAATATTAAAAAAAAATATTGAGACTGCCGTTTAAGAAGTGTTATTATCGAATACAATTTTTCCACGTAAACTATTTTCCATAAAATGACTTATTGTGAAGCTTCTTGAAAATTGAGTTTAATTAGACTTTGGTATTACCACCATGAGCAAGCCAAAATGGGCAGGGCACAAATGACAGTAATCATGCATGTCATATGTGATATGATAGAGGTAACCCGCCGCCAACCATCGATGTGATCCTTTAGTCAAATTTAATTTCAAATATTAGCTTAGACTTTGGTGTGACCGTCATCATCATTGATCAGAGACCTGTAAATTATTATTTATTAATAATACATATATTATAAGTTACTAATCATCAGCTGGGTTTCTACTAGCCCTTCCAACATTTTTGCCGTAAAATAATAATTCTACACACTTTAGAATAATTCAACACACTTTCTCATTTAAAAAAATTAATAAAATTTAAATTTCATAATCTTTTTAATTAATAAACTCTAATATCATATCAACAACGAATTCAATCCTAAGTTAACCCAAGTTTAAACTTTTTTTTTGAAAAAAAATGTCCCTTCTATAATTAATTTAGTTCATCTTGTAATGAAAATTTATAAGCAATATAATCGGCATCTATTTTTATAATTCCTATGGTGATTTTTTGTGTTAAGCTATTTAGGATGTGGAAGTGATTGAATTATCCTTCAGACACCCCCTCTGTTGTGCAGTAGAAGGAGAATCCATGAATCTCATTACTTCTCCTGGTTAGGACACTACATGTCATAAGAAGAGATAAGATTGGTTGGAGATATCTATAGGCATAGGATGGCATAGCATTTGGCTTCTGTTCTGTTTCATTTCAATGTTCAAGATTTGATCAGCATTGAGGCATGAAAGGTCTTAATTAATCATGGATAAAGTTTATTACATATTAAGAAAATATATATATGAGGAGTGGTGATTATGAAAATAATATGAGCTAGCTGACATACTGCTTCTCAAGAAGACTTCCGCAGAAGGCCAAGTCGAAACACTCCTCTGGAGGATCCCCAATGCAATCAAAGACCGCGTCGGCATTCAAGAAGTCCTCGTCAGCTGTGTAACTGCAATCAAAATGTTAAGATTTTCCAAAACATTAGTTCGATGTATTAACAAACGAAGGATTACAGTAACATGTCAACCCATGAGATCGAATTATCAGTTGTTGGTTATAGATGTGCGGAAGAAGAAAGAACTATGTTCTCAAACCCAAAGTTGACAAGGCTGCAAGTTGAGTAGGTTTTTCTGAAAAAGAATAAGAAAAGAAAACATAAATGAACATAATGCTCCGGAAGGCAGCATGCATTGCTGCTCTGAGGTTGCTAAGAGTGTGATCAGGTTAACATATTGTGTTAGAGATGGATGAATACAAATGCTGCATATTGTATCCCAATCCTAGTACTTATTGACTTGAAGACAGCATGTAGTTGAAGCACAGTCTAATTTTATTGTGAGTCTGTGACTATTGATAATTATGTAAGAACTGGGGACGTGGAGAAGAAAACATGCATGGGATGGTGATATGTCTTAAGAGCTGGGATGTAGCAGTAAAATCTCAAGAGCTTCTAAGTGGAGACTATAGACCACACTCATGGATGGCTTAAAAGATCTTCTCTTAGCTCTACAAGGAGATCGGATATAGTTATAAGGAAATCATTCAAGCATGGCCTCATGGTCTCAAGGATTTCCGAATGAAAAAAAGCGTCAGTAATCACTCAATTGAACAAAGGTTAGGTGATGTCCTCTAGCATCCAAAATCACAACGCATGGGAAAAGGCAACAAGAAAGCAGCTTTTGTTTCTTCAAATAAGTACCGGACTGTTACCTTATAAAATTCTCAAGGGAAGTAAAAAGCTCAATAATTCTGCTTACACGGAAGGAAAGTAACTTACCCGCTCTTTGTTACTATACACTTCATTCCAGCAGCTTTGGCAGCTGCAAGACCTATTGCACTGTCCTCCACCACTACACAGCTGCAGAGATGAAAATCAAAGAATATCCTTAACAAATTAGAACTTTTTAACTTGCTTAATGAAAGAAAAATGTAGGAAACTAGCCTATGGCAAGAACATGCATAAATTCATCTGTCCATTTAAGAATTAGAGCATATACCAGAGAAGCCTTGAAAAGGAATTATGAAGTTGATTTTATCAAATAATTGATTGTAGCTTACAAGAACTGATCCATCCCAAAGTCACTGGGTATATAACTATATATCTTGAGAGAAACCTGATTTTTTGTCTATATTGACATGAAACATATTCTGTGGTACCTTGAAGGATCAACACCCAGAGTGTTGGCTGCTAATGTATAAATGGCCTGTTAGGAAGAATAAATGACATTATAGCAAGCATCAGCGCATCAGACCCAGAGTTTTCACAAGCAAAAAAAATTTAGACAAAATCAAATGAGTAATAATAGAGGTGAGATTTCAATAATTGCAACTTCACAACGACAGTTGCATTTCTACACTGACTGAAAGACTTTATATAAATAGGGCCATAAAGATGAATTTGTAGCTTCAATTGCATAAAACCAAAATCCATGGTATCACTACTAAACCAAGGGAATAATAAAGTGTACCGGGTCAGGCTTTTTGCGTGGAACAACATCTCCTGCAAATATCTTGATCTTTTCTGCTCGTTCAGCCCCCAGCAGAAAGGAAACTATCGCGGAGACCTGAAATAAGGATTTTTAGTTTGGCGATCAAAATTTGCAATGCATCCTTGAATTAGTACCGTGTAATTTGCCAATAAAGTTATATAAGCAAAGTAATTAGATTTACCACTTCATCCAAATCGTGAAGTTCAAACACAAGAAATTTTACAAGAATGAAAAAGCTAACAGAGATGAATCCTCTTGCACTAACACACATTATGCAAGAGTTATGTTTCTTAAAGAAATGAAACTCGGACCTATCATACTTAAAAGTTTGGATGGCAGAAATGCAGATTTAATATCCACTGCAAAACCTGGGTCACATGGAACTAATCATACGAGCAATACAACTGTAAGAACCTGATTGTGCATACCGCCTTTTCATTAGAAGTGCTGCAGACAGCAACTTTTACTCCTTTTCCAAGAGCCTGATCAATCAGCCTGTAAAATTTGGCAGTACAACCGTTGGATTATTTATAATATTATTATATTAGATATTGAAGTGGAATGCTAAAAGTAAAAAGTTCTTGCATGATTATAATTCTCGGTTTGTATTTGTAACCCTAACCCCAACACATCCAAGGAGAATTCAAACAGATATGTCAAACGTATTAAAGCATTTGTTCTGCTAGAAACTATTGTTGTGACATTATCAAAAAAGAATAAGAAAAATGACAATTTTGCAAGCTAGGACTTAACTCGTATTAAGTTTGAAATTCTTGAAAAACATGCATAGCCAGTCAAACACAGGCATAAAGTACTAAAAGTGAACAGATTTGCGAGAGGAAGGCACTAACTTTGCAACGCCTGGTCGAAGAGGTAACAATTTCTTCTCAATAAGGGCCATGAACAGCTCTGTCTTTCGCTTATGAAGTGAAGCTATAAATTCCTTTCTCTCTTCTTCACTCTTGGGAGCTTTTTCCGGCCACCCAGTCTTGTTAAAGTAGGCTGTCATCCTACAAATACAAGAGTCGACTAATAACCAATTCAACTAGGGATATTTCAAACACAAGGAATGCTGCAAATTATACCTAGAGCTTTTACCTATGCAAGAAGTAAAGTAGTTGAAATTTTATAGGCCAAAACATAACTTGAAAAAGGCCATGAAATTACAAAGGGGAAACATTACCTCTCTTTTCCACCTCCTATTTTGAGCAACTCGCCATACAAATCCACATCCCAGCTCACTCCCAGTTCTCTCTGTGCAATAAATTAAACATCCAATTAACTCATCAAGACATCTATAGTTAACGTCTCTTCCAAAACCACACAAAAATGAAGCTAATTTATGTCTTCCTCCCACGGCAATAACACCTCATAAGAAACCAAAAGGTTACCATCAAGACTGTACTTTCATATTTATCCTAGTTTATCACCAATTATAAAGAGAAAAATAGAGAATAAAACAAGGATGTTATAAGCTTCATGTTCTCTATTCTATTTATTTTCCAGGAATTATAGCACTCAACTAAATGAATTGCGAAGAGCAAACTCAAGGGTGATCAAAATATCATCTAAGCAATTACAAACCAACAGTCCAGAAAAAATCCTCACCAAAAACAAATCCCATTTGGCAGAACTTAAAAAAAATCTCCAACTTACAACTAGTCCAACACCAGTGAATGATCAGACTAATCAAGCCTATAAAATACAGAACAAATAATCAAAGTTACACAAGAGAAAGAGAATGGAGAGTACTTCATTGAAAGTATCATTGAAAGAAATCCTGTGGCCATCTTTCTCAGTATCAACAAGCACGCCATCACAATCAAAGAGAAGAGCTGATGGAAGAACAGAAGATGAAGCTAAGCAAGTGATCCCGTTTGAAGAGCTACTCTTTTCCACCACTCTTGTTCTTGCTGTTTTGTTATAGACACGTATTCTTGTGCCCAGTAGCGAAGAAGATAAAGTCCTTTCATGGGATCTGAAGCTGCAAATGGAGGAAGTCTTAGTTTGGGTTATTGAGGAAGTAACAGTGGCAGTAGTAGAAGACAATGTAGCTAAGGAAAGAGAGATGGTAGTTGTTGATGATGATGCCATGTGTCTCTCTTTCTTCGCGAAATAGCATGTTTCTTTGGTGTCTTTTTAACGGTTTTTCGGTTCCAGACTTATCCACCATAGCGCCACAAATTGTTTTTTGGGATAGAAGGGCTGGGCTTGGGTTAGTTTAGGCTAAAATTTAGGAGCACAAGCCCTGCTAAACTAATAATTATAGTAAGAAATGGCCTAGCTCGATAGGTCAACTAGATGACGGCGGACTTGAGGCCTATTCCACGTTGTATTAGTGAAAAGATCATTAAGTTGGATTTAGATTTATAACTGTATTCAATTCAAATTTAATTTTGATAATTTTATAAATTATAAATTTAATTTTTTTATTTAAACTCAAGCAAATGAGGTATATTGAATTGGGATTCTCGGGTTGAATTTATATTTCTAATTGTCATGGATCCATATTTAAAAGCAAACTTCCACCATAGATTGTAGGTTACATAACATCCTTCAAGTTTAATTTTCATACATTACACCATCATTAAATTATATTTACCTCCTCCTTCCCTCCAATAAAAAGACAAGTTCATTCTTATTATGTTAAATCAATTTAATAGAAAATCCTTACATGTTATAGGGTCATTGCGCTGAAAATTTGTCTATCTATCTGTAAAAGCAGTAACTCTTCCAAATCAGCTCGTTGATTTAATCAAAAAACAGTCTCGTTATCCTGCCAAGAACGCAATCACACTCTGATACCACTTGTCACAGGGTCAATTTTAATCTCAAAAACAAACTTCACACGACTGTTTAGCCTGCTAAACTCAGCCCTTTCCTTACCGCATTTGTGTTTGCCTAGCAACTAAGTGTTTCCCACACTCTCTCCCGTTACATAGACAAGCAAGATACACGAACAAAAAGGTAGCAGAACACTTGTGCATGGCACACACACTAATGGACTTGTGTATCCTTTATTGACTAGAATAATGAAGGTCGGGAATCTTTCCTGTAATATCTTGTGTACTTGGTTTTGTACACTTTTACTTATGTATTTTACTTGTTTATGTAACAGGAGATAGTGTGGGAAATCTCTTGGTAAGGAAAACACTTGGTTGCTAGGCAAACACGAGTGCGGTGAGGAAAAGGCTGAGTCTAGTGAGGCTAGACTACCTCACGAGGTTTTTTTTTATGAAAAATTAACTTAATGACAAGTATAAGAACTTTGGAGTTAAAAATTTCTAAAAAAATAAAAATAAATATTTAATTCATAAGCTATCTAAAGATTTATATATATATATAGTATACTAGTTAAGTCTAGTTAATCAGGTTTCAAGAATCTTAACCTATCACCCGACCCGTGATATGAATTTATTAAGTCTTTTGATCGATTATCATTTGTAATATCCATATTATCTGATTTTGACAAATTGGGTTATGTCAAATAATATAAATATTATAAATGGGTTAATTTTTAAACATTTTTAGAAAAAACCTTGATTTTTATCAAAAAAAACATTCGCGGATTCTTTTCTAAAAAAAAAAAACTTTAAAATAATATCATTTTAAAAAAAAAAACTTGATTTGACTTGGTTCAGTCTATGTATTCCATGACTCTAGTGTTGGATTGGATCAGACCTTGAGTCAAGTCTTATAAATATGCCTAAAACTACTTGTTTCCTTCTTTTTCTTTTCTCTTTTTAAATTTCTAAACCAATTTTTGTATAATGACCCTTTAAAACATCACTAGTTTACAAGGTTATGCTATGTTGTGGCTTTAATTAAAAAAAGTTAAAAAAATATACAGTTAACTCAATATGTTAACCCTAAAACTTTTTTTCCTAACTCTTTATCTAACTAAGGTTTAAAACTAAATAACGTGGGGTTGCTCTATAATATCTCAGTCGACTCGACGGATTCAAAAACAACTGAAATGACAGGTAACAAAACATGAATGGGTTTTTTAAAAAAAAATCAAGATAATCTTGTCTAAAAAATTAAGATGTCGACATATTAAATCAATCTAAACTTGGCAACTTAACCTATGATGGACTTCATTTTTTTACTCAATTATACGATAATAGAAATAAATATTCATAATATTGAGCACAAACTAAATATTAAGATACTCATAATATTGAGCACAAACTAAATATTAAAATATTTGGTTGAAATTGAGATAAAAAAAGTTAACTAAAATAATTTATGAAAAAAAAATTAAGCTAATATTGAAAATAAAATTGAGAGAAAATAAAATTAAAAAAAAAAGAAAAAAAGAGTGAGAGAAAGGGCAAAAGAAAAGGAAAGGACGTGAAGAGAAAATAAGATGACAACTCAACTTTTTTTTTTTGAAAGTGTTAGGTAATAGCAAGTTTTTCATATCTTTAAGTGTTAGGTAATAGCAAGTTTTTCATATTGTTTGATATGTAGACATAAATAACATAAATTTATCTTAGATACTCTCGGTCAATAATAATAAAGTATTTATCATATTAATTTATTTATAAAAATATTTTATTTATATGTTAATGTATTAGGTGGCACAAGAGTATATTTTCTGTTATGAATATTATGGTGTCACATATTAATATTGTTAGCATTCTAAAATTGTATTTAGTTTTAAAATAAATCACTTAAAATTTAATTATATGAAAATTCATCCTTAAGGAAATTTTAAATAAAGTAAAGCCAAAATTAATAATACCATAGTTAGAAAAAGAACGATGCACCAGTCAAACAAAAGAGGGAAAGATCAGCGAAAAGGGTTTATACGCGCCAGATAGGGGTCGAACCTATGACTTTCTGCTTAGGAAACAGACGCTCTATCCACTGAGCTACAGGCGCTTCTTGATGCCCTAGAGATTACAATAATTTATATTCTCTTATTATGTTTTACTTATTTATAATCATAATCACAATTATTTTGATAAAGCAGGTTCAAATCTAAAGCTATCGGTGTGTTTTTGTGCGTGTACCGTATTCTTCATGTACCGTTTTAAAAATGTGTGGATTCTTTCAATTGCTAAAGAAGGACCATGTAGTATATATGCTTCAATTTAAAAAATAAAGACTATGTACTTGCTAATACAAATAAATTTATTTGTTTCCACATGCCCACAAAAGTTGATAGGGTGGGAGGACCGTATCTTTTTATGAATACTATAGGGATTATATAAATATATATATATATATATATAAAATAATCAGTGGGGGCTATGATTACCCAAGCTAGCTAATTATAAGCATGGACATTTGCGGACAACAAGAACATATGATCAGACAAAGCTTTTTTCCGGATAAGATCTGGTAATAAATATTGCATCTTCCTCTTTACTTAATCTACGGCTAGATATATATGTGTGAACTACAAAATAGAGAGGAGATAGTTAAATACGGCATAAAATCTAATTACAAGGCAAAATCTTGTTAGAACTCAACCTCTTCATGCCAGAAAGAAGGACAATCCTTTTCAACCACAGTTTACATGTTTGAATCTAAAACAAAAACAAGAATCCGAAGTGTACGTACCTACATACATATACATATATATAAATATGATCATATGTTATTTTTTTCTGTCGTAGCCAGTAATTAACTAATAATAACTATGGCAAAATATGTCTTGCTTCTTGTCGTTTTAATTCTTGGTGCAGCTACAGCTACTTCAACTCAATCTCGAAGCTTACGAAGCTGTAATCAAGTTTACAATGTGATTGATTATGGAGGCGTTGGAGACGGGGATACTGATGATACCCAGGTTCTTTTATTTATTTTGTTTTAATTATTAATATTTGCTACCTAGTTTTAATTTCTTTTCTATGCTCGACTTGACAATTAATGTCTTCTGGCTACCTAGTTTTATTCATTTTATTTTTTTTCATGTTCGTAGTTTTGGGTCTTAGTTATTTGTTGAAAATTAAATATTTATGAAACAATCGGTAATTCTTAATTAAATATTAATTAATCAAAGGTTAACTAATTGATCACTCATGTCTAGCAAACTATAATTAAGTTCCTTACGTACGATTAATCAAATAATGATTCTCGTCTAAGAAAAATTGCTTCTCTTTCTTTCTGTCCGTGACGAAGATCAAATAGTTACAACCTAATTGAATGGGAGTATACCTATAATTAAACAATAACAACAATAATAACAATAATAATAATTTTTATTATCTAAACAGGTAGTGTGAGTAAAGTAATTAAGAAGTAATAATAACATCTAAACAACAGGTAGTGCGAGTAAAGTAATTAAGAAGTAATAATAACTTGGTAAAAAAAAAATCTATCAGAAGTGAATATTATTATTCTAGTAACGTGGCATGTACTGAGGAAAACTCTTAATTCATCAATAATAATAATAATAATAATAATTTTGGTATTCCATAAATATGATTTGCTCTCTCAGGCCTTCAAGGATGCATGGAAGGATGTGTGCAAGTCTTCATCATGCCCAGTACCGATCATACAGGTTCCTAGTGGCAAATCATTCTTGCTCCAGCCCTTGACCTTCAATGGCGAATGCAAACCCGACCAGATTATTTTCCAAGTAATTGATTAAACACTAAATATATTATACACATTACTCCTTTATAATTAACGATCAAGTGCACAATGTTTTCGCATTTTAATTAGTTTTACTCGTAACATGGTGCTTAATTAATTATATAAACTTGATTGATAATTGCTTTCTAAATGCGAATTCACTATCTTAATTGTAGATTGATGGAACGATGAAGGCACCGAGTGATCCCAGTGACTGGAAATGCCAAGAACACAGATATTGTAAGCAATGGATTACCTTTGATGAGGTTGATAACCTTATGATTCGTGGATCCGGTACCATGGATGGTCAAGGATCAACGTGGTGGGAACGTCATTCCTCTTGTAAAGATCACAAGCATAGAGATAAAAGAGTGAGTCTAATTCGTTATATAAATATATTTTTCTACTCTTAATTACTTCTTATATTGGCTCTCCCAAATTGTTAATTTTGCTAATTAATCTTGCACTCTTGGCAGGTTTGCGGTAGAAAACCAACAGTAAGCAACGATCCTCATAATTAATGACCCAGTAACCAAATTTCGGCTGA